TTAGGCCATAGTTTTCTTCAAACTGCTGCCTGCTTTATGTTGAGTGAAGTATTTTAGGGTTTACTGAGACCTTTTTGGGGGGATCTTGTTCTATAAAGCCACATTAGTCTGGAAGGAATCCACAGGTTCCCATCCTCTGTGGAAATAAAAGCAGAATGTTTTTGCCAAAGTAACATATCCTTAGAGTCACATTTGGAAATCAAGATACCTTTAAAATATATATGTAGATTTGGCTTAATAGCCCCGAGAATCAAATGTCTCTGCAGTCAAAAAATTTAAAGAAAACACAATAATATGCATAATACAAACTCTTTGTGTATTTTTCATCTTTGTGTGGCTACTCCTTTAATCTACATCTATCTGATGTTACTTTTACTATCTCTTTAAAGACTTTGTTTTCTTTTTTCTATACTGTTTTTCCTCTCTGTCCCAAGCCTATATACATTTTTGAAACATATAGAGGTCTTTATGTCTCAATCTGTCCTATTGTGTGTCTGGAATCCTTTTCTGACAAGGAGCATTTTAAAATGGTAAGCAGTGTGGTTGCAGCAGCCCTAGAAGCTGGCTCCGCCTCTCTTGGCCTTTCAGTATGGCCGATGTGCATTTACCTCCAGCTCTATGACAGCTGGGTGGGAGCCCTGCTCATCACTTCAACTCTGGGAAACAGCATATGGCACATAAGACTTTTTTGTCTGAGTAAAAGCTAAATCCGCCATGCAGCATGCTGCGTGGTTTGGAAATGCCTCTGTGTATGGCCACAGGAATCTGTCATGTTTTCTTGCCTGTGTACACCTAGCAAACCCGATCCAACTGCTTGCCCAGGCAGGGGTGCTGAGTGGCAGGCATGCCCTCAGCTACTTTCCTCCTAACCCAGAACGGGCATACAAGCACCCAGACCCAAAATATGTGGCTGGCTAAGCTGGTTAGCAACAAATGTATGGGCGCCATTTTGTAGGTGGAGACCGCTCATTTGTTTCCCAGCTGCCCAGACCTGAATAATCACACAGAAACTGCATTAGTTACAACACTGTTTGGCCAATGACTGTGGCGTATTTCTAGCTAGATCTTACATCTTAAATTAACCCATTTCTATTATTTTGTATTTTACCACAAGGCTCATGGTTTGTTACTTCTTGCTTCTTAGGCAGCTCCATGGTGTTTCTCTCTAACTCCACCTTCTCTCTCTCTCTCTCTCTCTCTCTCTCTCTCCCTCCCTCCCTCCTTCCCTCCCTCCCTCCCCTTCTCTCTCTCTCTCTCTCTCTCTCTCTCTCCCCCTCCCTCCCTCCCTCCTTCCCCTTCTCTCTCTCTCTCTCTCTCTCTCTCTCTCTCTCTCTCTCTCTCTGTGTGTGTGTGTGTGTGTGTGTGTGTGTGTGTGTGTGTTTGGATTTCCCACCTGGCTGTACTCTACTAAGACATTGGCCAGAACTGCTTTATTCAGTAGCCAATAAAAGCAACACATAAACAGAAGGACATCACTATAGAATATAAAGGAGTAAATATAAATGTATATATAACCTTGAAAAAATACTCATAAAACTGGAGTCGGGAGAAATGCCTCGTGATTAAGAGCACTTGCTGCTCTTCTAGAGAAGGACATGAGTTCCATTCCCGGAACCTGATTGGGTAGCTCACAACCGCCTGTAGCTTCACCTTCAAGGGATCCGACCCCCTCTAGATTCTGTGAGCACCCCCCACATGCATATACATATACATAAAGATAACTTTTAATACTTGTATAACATAAGGATTCACATGAAGATAAGTATAAATGATCAATGAGATTGCCTGGGAAAAATAAAGGAAGCAAGTCAAAAGAAATTAATAAATAAATAAAAAATATAAAAGATTAATTCCACGTGATGATTTGTTTAAAACTTAATTTTATCTAGGCCAGCCCAGCCAGGGCTATATAAAGAAACCCTATCTTGAGAAACCAAAATAAATAAATAAATAAATTTTAAAATTTATAGAACTATAGAAAAAGATCAACAAGAATCAACTCAGGAAGATCCCGACAGCCTATACCCAGTGAAGAAGCTGAACTAATACCAGAAAGCCTTTCTCTTCCCTTCCAGAAGTTACTAAGACCTACATGGTTTACAGAGAGTAAACTGTTCGTCATGCCTTCACACTTAAGATGCCTGCAGGGGACAGAGCCTGTTTGTAGACCCAGGAAGAGAGCAGCCGAGTCACTCACTGCGTGAGACTCAGAAAACCTGGACATGGAAGGAAATGACACAGTGAACATGTTAAACATGCTAAAAGAATAGCTCCATAGCACACGTGCAGTAGTTTGATCCTTTACCTTAATGGATTGAAGTGGACACTTCCCAGGGCGCAAGGCCTCAAGTTCCATCTCCAGCACTGCCACGGGGCATGGGGGGTGGGGGGATGGGTAGGGAAAGTGACGGCTGAATTGATGACTTAAATTCTCATAGTTAGCCAAAGATCTTTTAAGGAAATTTGAATTAAGGGGGATATGGGATTGCCTTGATTTGATGAAGGGAAGATAGTGGAAACCTAGCGTGAGCGTCATGTTCAATGATGAGACTTGAGAAGCTTTCCCATTGCAATCAGAAAAGCAGCGTGTGTTGGCTGTTCTATTAAACACTATGTTAGCGTTTTGGCCCTGGAATAGCAGATAAATTGGTTAAGCCAATATTAGATGCTAATGGGATAAACTGTGTTTTGAGAGAAATTCGGGGTGGGGCTAGGGAGTTTGGCTGTGCTCTTGTGGCTGCAGTGTAAAAGGGCAGGTCAGCCGTAGATGGCTTCTGTGTCGCTTAGCCTCTTTAATTAGCACCAGTAAACACTGCTCTAGAGTGCCGGGGACCCTTCCTTCTCGTTTAGCAATTATTTTCAAAGATTGGGCAATTGAGCTGATCAACTTGTTCTAACCACCCCAAAGTGGCTTTATTTGTTTTAAATTTTTTGGAAGAAAATGAAAATGTTCTACTCTAGCCCCTCTTCAATCTAGCCACTGCTCTGGCTGCTGCTTTCGGCAACAGTGGGATGAAGGGAAGTGGTTCAGTTAGGAGACAGATGGGAGAAGTGTTTGCAATAGTAAGAACTCTTACATTTGTATCCTGATTCAGGGTGCCTTAGTCTAAATTTAAATCTGTTCGAATTTTGAATCTCCCCCTAAGGCTTTAAAGTACAGACTGCTCTGTGCCAGATTTCATCATAGCTTTTAAATCCAAGGTAACACTGAGAGATTTAGCATCGGTCATTATTTACTGGTTACCCAGGCAAAGTCCACACATGCGCTGTTCTGTGTGACTTTCTGCCCCCTTCCTCTCCATGGTCTGAATTTACAATGACCACATTTTATGGATTGTTTACCTTTCCTATCCTGCTGGGAAGCCAAGGCACTCTTTTGCTGAATGGACTGAAAATGAGTAGAGAAATGAAAACCACAGCCCAGGAACAAAGGTTAGCATTAGAGCTGAATTGTTGGTTTTCACGTTGTTTCTATACTTTAAGTGTTTTGGGTTTGCTCTTAGGTTCTTCTTCACTGTCCCAAGCTCTGCTTTTGTAACTGTAGTATTCTACTGCGTGTGTCCTCAAGCTGTTGCTCTTCTCTCGGCTCTTAGATGAGACTAAAGACTGATACTTAAGGGCGAAGCTTCCTGGTGGCTGTTACTAGGTAGATCGTGTCTGTCTCAATTCGGGTTCATTGTGTCAACCTGATAGTGTGGGGCAGGTGGACATTCTGCTGACCAGCTAGGGGTTGTGGGGGGTGGAGGCTGAAGATGGATAGCTCTGTCTCCTGACAAAATAAGTCATTCCGTGGGTATGAGTGTGCACGGGGAAAACTGGGCCCAGCAGGTGGTGGCTCTAAGCAGGATCTGATTTCTTTCTCGGCAATGAGATTTGCTATGGCTGTCTTTTCATAGATGCCAGCTGGCACTGCCCACTAACTGCCAGTACCTACTGGCCTTTGTAGTGGACTTGTTGCTTTCTTTAGAATGTATTCAGACACACTTTCATGTATGGCTTTGTGTTTGCTTCATGGTGAAACAAGGTATTCAAAAGTAGAATCCAGTCTTGGGGTTCACCTGGTGGTAAAACCTGATAACCAAATGCAGTCAGATCCCTTTTCTCCAGTTCTTTACTCTCTTTAATTCTCTGCTATATTAAACTTTTGATCCTCATTATTGCCATTTCAAGTTTGATTACTGAAAGTTGTTTCTGAGTTATAAAGAAAAAAAGTTTCTCATTGAGAATCCAGCCCAGAATATAAAGCTATGTAACTAGAAACAGGCCACTGCTTTTAACTTTCCTTTCTAATATGTCATATATAATTTACTTAATCCAAAGGATCTATTTAAATATTTTGTTTTTTGAGACAGTGTCTTATGTAGACCAGGCTGCCCTGGAACTCACTAAATGACTGAAGCTGGACTTGAACTCCTGATCTTCGTTCCTTCCCCTCCCAAGAGGTTTAGAGATGTTCTTTAGAATTTAAGAGGAAAGATGGGTAGAAAGTACAGTTTTATTGTGTTTAGAGCAGAGGAAAAACCTAGGGGATGCTGTTGGGATCAGTCCTTGTCCCTTGGAACACCAGATTGTATGAGAGAAGAAAACGACCGCTTACTCCCATTCTGTGGAAATGTTGTGACCCCTCTTTCCCAAGGTTTCCTTAAAAAGTCCCAGGTCTGACTTCGATTTGCCTAATTTTCGTGTATTCCCATCTCTGAAGCGATCACCATAACGTACTAACCAGGCCTGGGTTCTGTTTAGGTTGGTTGGTTTGTATTTTTTCTCATCTTTGGAGCTTATGGATGGGATTAGCTCCCCTTCAGATGGATGCAGAAATGAAGAGGAAGATCAGGGTGTAAACCCCGAAAGAAGAAAGGAGTGCTAAGAAGATAGAAAATAAATGCCAACTCTCTCCCCAAATCTGCTTAGTAGGAAAGGGCTGACCCTCTGCCAAGAAGGCATGCACAGCAGTTGGTTACTTGGCCTAATGCTCCCTGCTTGCCCTTGTTTTGCCGCAGGTACTTGTTTCCCAAGTTCACACTGTGTTGGACTGAGTTTGCAGACATGAAAGTCCACGTGCCCTGTGAAACAGTTGACTACATTGAAGCCAACTATGGTAAGACCTGGAAGATTCCTGTGAAGACATGGGACTGGAAGAGCTCACCCCCAAATGTTCAGCCCAATGGGATCTGGCCTATTTCTGAGTGGGACGAAGTTATCCAGTTGTACTGAGAATACAAAGTTAAGGAGGCACATTTCCCAACAAGAAGATGGGCAGCTGTTCAAAGCACCCCTGTCTTTTTGCTGCATATGAGAGCCAAAGAAGATAAATGACAAGTGGACCATCTAATCAGCAGTCGTTCTACAATTTCTGAGGAGTTTCTACACCAGGTGAAATACTAGGTTCTGGTGGATAGGGAGAGATGAACAAGCAAATGCTGCCTCTCTCCTGTCATGTTGGTAAGCAGTCCAGTCTTCTTTTAAGGGAATGTCCCCCACCCTCTGAAGAGCTGGTGTACGTTACGATGTATTCCAAAATGATTCTTAAAATGTTGAGTGGTGTTTATGCTGGGAAGTGAGCTCATCATTCAAAGCTAAGGCGGAGTACATTAGTTAGGAATCATTCATTCCTGACTGTCCTCTGGATTTAGGCTGCTGCGTCCATGCCACTTTTGAGATTGTGGAATGTGAGTTAGTACTTCATGGGTCATCAGACTTTATGTTGCATAGAGAAAGATAGTGGCAGACTCATCTTACAAGCATTTCTATCACAGTTGGCTTAAAACACAGGGCGATTTATAAAGGAAGATGAGAGTCAATTTCAAGCCTTGTCAGGATGCATAGCTTCATGTTTGAAGTGAGAAGTTGATGCCTACGTGAGGTTTATGTTTCCGACGTCATAGGAACATCTTCTCTGGCCTGCAGTAGAACGTGCTGATGAGTCTCTCAGGCATGCCGTCTGAAAGCTGTGACTTCCCAAGGCTTACTTTCCTTATTTCAGTCCCAATCACTCTTAGATTTAAAAAATAGGAGTAATTCATGGATATTTTTTATTTTCTGAACTTGGAACTCTTCTACCCTTTATTTTAATGTTGACACTAAATACTAATAGATACACCTCTGAGGTTTCTAAATAGACCCTTTATTTATTTATCAACAGTAGCTCTGTTTCTTTAATATATAGCCTACACACTGATTTATTTAAAATAAAGATACGACTGTTGTTCTCTCCAATACTGCTTCAGGTTTCCATAATGAAGGCTTAATGTGAACCTGGTAACTCTTCCTTGTTCCAGATCACTGCTTTTAAAGCCTTTGTCCATCCCTAGATTTTCCTTCTGATGAGTGTAATAGTACAAGGCTCAGACTTCCTTCCTTCCAAGTACTATACCTGCTGGACCCTTGACCTCCTTCTTCTTCACAAAATACACTCGTGAGTAGGCTGGGTTCGCTGCACCCTTCTCTTTACCTGTCCTTAAGCCATGTGCTCTAAGTGAGATATGCAGAGGAGTCTGGTGCAGTAAATGCTGCCTGGGAGAGGAGGTTCTCTACTCTCTGCTTAAGGATGCTTCCCATGGCAGCCTGACAGATTTCCCTTTGAAACTATAGTTGCTAAAATGAAAACCAGAATGTCTAAGGGAATGAGCTGGCAGAGTTTAAAAAAAAAAAAAAAACTTGAGAAGTCACTTGAAGCCACCCACTTCCAAATTTCAAAATCAAGGTGAAAGCTCTTTGGTAGACAATAAGCAACAGTCTGTGAGGCTGCATCCTCCATGCAGGGAACTGAGTCTCATCATAACCATCATAATCAGATGTTCAGAGACTTTTGTAATTATTAACAAACGTGTCCCCAAATTACAGGTCATAAACAGTTCTTTCCTAGAAAATAAGTCCACATTCTGTGTACCCACGATTTAGGTAGCCAACCCTAATTTCATTTTTTTGTGAACCAGAGATACAGCATATGATAATAGTGTTCTTGAGAAACCCCCTATCTGAGCCCACTGGGTTGTACTCAGTATCCAGAAGCAAGTGCACTCACATTGTGTTTCTTGAGAGCCCTCATCTCCTGCCAGGGGAGCCGACCTACTCCTGCTCAAATTGCTTTGTTTGTATCCATCTTTGGAGTTCAAGGTTGGGAAGTGTCCAGAGGACAAGCTATCAGAGGTTTCATATATTCTTTCCTACACAGAGGACAGCTAAACATCTTGTCTTCCCTCTGATTGTCTTTAGTGTTGGGGTTCCTTTCTACCTTGGAGAAAATGAAAGCCTTTCCCAGAATTTGAAGGCGAGGCCTGCTTTGGAAAATGATCCCATGATTCAGTCACAGTGAAGCCTGTGCTTCTTAACCTTTGAACTCTGCTGAGTGTCCAGAGACCTTGGGTTAGGTGTGCTCACCCCCTGTACCTTCTCAGATCACTTTTCATTCCTCCCTGAATATGCCAACTGTCCTTTTATATGACTACTTTCTGGTCTGATTGCCTGGTTTACTTGAAGATATCTTTTCTGTTAACTTCTTGGTAGTAATATAACCAAGGATGTCTCCAGAGAGACCCTGAGAAGCAAACACTTCCTCAGTTTGCAACAGCCAGCTATGTTTCCAAACATGGAGCACATGCCCTGCTCTTGGCTGCCTTATTGACATCTGGTCACCAAGATAAAATAATAGTAACCACAGCTGGCCGTCTAAGAATAGCTGAGCCGCTAGAGAACGGGCTTCTCAGATTCCCTGGCTAGCCTGCAGTGTGGCCACTGTGTACTTAGTGAAGCATTCTTTCTGGCCCTCATTTCTCAGCTGGTTGGTAATCCCAGGAAGGAGCGAGCTGAGGAGAACAGCTGAGGCCACGATGCAGCAAGCGTTCTGTGACTTCTGGTCTGCTGCTGTCTGCAGACCTGAGATCAGTTCTCAGTGCGGCCTCGATGACACCTGACTCCAATGTCTCAGGGACGTGCCCCTTGGGGTGCTCCTGCCAGCCCCCACTGAAGGCCTCGGGTGACAAAAGACGCTAAGGAGGAATGTTTCTTTCTTGTCCAGAATTCTTAAGCTACCTTCTTACCTTTATCTGGAAAAAAAAAAAAAGCCTTATCTACAAAAAATAGGACAGTTTATGTCTGAAGACATCAGCCTGTGTTTCCTGACTCTTGAAATGTTTTAAAGGGTACTCTGGTTCAGGGCTAGGGTTAAGTACTTATAAAATGTACCGTTTCCTACTTCCTGTTTCCTTGGTAATCATTTAAATTGTAGGTGAGGATGCACTACCTTCTCAGAAGGTTGCATGACAGAAGTTGCTTAGAAATAAAATTGGGGGTGGGGCACTGAGATGGCTTAGTGGGTAAAAGCCCTTGTCACCGAAGCTGACTTGAGCTTCCCCAGGACCCATCTAGTGCAAGGAGAGAACTGATTTCCACAAGTTGCCTGTGACTCCTGCGCGTAGGCTCCAGTGTGCTTGCATCTCCTCTCCAGCACACAGGCAAATGTAGTGAAACAGCCTATTGTGTCTGCGCAGTGCAGCTCAGATTATGTTGTTTATGAACTGAGAGTCATTGCCGTATTACCTCCACCTGTAAACAGAGCTGCATTTTCATTAAGCTGATCAAGCTGCTGTCTTCTGATAGTATCCATGTACTACTGTTTTCTTTTAAGCCCGGCCAGTTTGCGCTCTGATTTGGTGCCTGATCTGCTATGGACTTGCTTTTCAGTATTCTAGTTTTGGGTGGCAAACATCACCGTATGTACAGATCTGCAGAACCAAAGCTTTGGAGTGCTTAGTTATTCTTTGCCTACCCTGGATGGAGATATGGATAGTGGAGACTTCTTGCCCAGCGTGTGTGAAGCCAGGGTCAGTACAAATCACAAGAAATCTGAGCAGAAGGGTTACCATGTTCAAGACCAGCCTGGGCTACACTGTTAAGACCCTGTATTGAAGGAGGAAGAAGGAGAGAAGAGAGACAGAGACAGAGAAATGAGAATATGCTCATGTCAATCATCTGCCCACAGATTTATGTTTTTGTCTAAGCTAGGCAAGAAGCAGCAGCGTATGTCATACTGTTTTAAGTTACTTCACATTAGAGCAAAACACTAATTATAGTTAATTGTAGGCAAACAGACCAATTCAGTGTTTAGTCCTTTTGTATACAACCAGTAGGCAAATATAAATTTTCTGAGAATTTTTGTTTCTGTCCCCTCAGAACACCTAGGCTAGAATTTGTCCCTATAATTCCTATACCCAACCTAATAGAATTTTTCTGAGGGCCCACACAGCTATCCGAACTTCTTCTGAGTAGCTTTCACAGAAGGGAGTGTATAGGAAAGCTTTGTCACATAAAGTATCCTGCCATGCACTTTAAAGCTCTACAACCTCTGACAATTTGTTCAAAGCATGAAAATTATTAGTTCATGAGTTTATTGAATGCAAATCATGTGTAACTCTGTCAACATATGTATGACTATGAAACATGTATGAATTTTCTAGACCATCTCATGTTTTAAACATGGGATTTCAGTGTATGCATACCAGTTTCCTACTTGGTTTTTGTCTTCGGGTATAGTTCATGGTACTACTGAAAAGACTTTTAATATTATTACTCTGACGATTTGTAATATGTGATCTACTTTGGGATGATTAATAAAATTTTTTAATCTCTTGTGCTTTTTTTTGTGTTTGTTTTTGAAACTTGAGCTAGAAATTAAAGCCACTTGTTGTAAGGAGGCTGCTAGTTAGTTTCCAGCTGCTCAGCCCCAAAATAAGCACTCAGAAATCATATTATTTGCAATACTGTTTGGCCAATAGCTTAAGCATATTTCTGGCTAACTCTTATATCTTAATTTAACCTATCTCTATTATCTATGTATCGCCACAAGGCTGTGGTTTACCAGGTAGAGTTCTGGTGTCTGTCTCCAGATGGGCTACATGGCTTCTCCTGACCCCACCCTCTTTCTCCCAGCATTCAGTTTAGTTTTCCCCACATAGCTCTACTCTTCCCTATCAGGCCAAGCCAGTTTCTTTATTAAACAATGGTATTCACAGCATACAGAGGGGAATCCACATCAGCCTCTAGCATTCAAAACTGGTAAAATAATAATCTTGCCACAAATACAATATTTCTAAAATTCAAGTCTAGAAAGTCTACATACATACACTGGGATCCACAATTTCTCAGTGACAAAGTCTGCTATATGACATCTCTAATCATGCAGAGTTTGGCTTATCCACTCATGGTAGCCAGGGTAAACACCCACTGTGGAGAACCATGACATACTCAAAGAGCTCTAGAAAGTTCTCTTACAGTATTCAAGCTAAAGTCAAAATTGTAAAGGAATGACCCTGCATCATGGGGTGACAATCCCTAGTTTATGCAAACCTACAACCTATAAAAAGAATACACACACACACACACACACACACACACACACACATATATATATATATATATGGTGAGAAAGAAACCAAAGAAGATCTACATAAATGGAGATACTGTGTTGAGCATTAGAAAACTCAAAAGATGTGAAATTTGCCAAAATGATGTATTGGTTTGGTGTGCAACTCCTACAATGATCTCAGTCATGTTTTTCTAAGCCTTATTCTAAAATTCGTATGATGAATTTACCTAGAGGAGCTCAATCCATCTTGACAAAAACAGGTTTGACAAAAAAAAAAAAAAAAAAAGAGAGAGAGAGAAAAGAGTGCAGGAGAGATGGTTCCAGCGTTAAGAATACTGGGTACTCTTCCAGAGGTCCTGCTTCCAATCCCAGTGCCCACATGGCAGCTCACAACTGAGCTCCAGGGGACCTAACACCCTTTTCTGTTTCTGTGGGCACCAGGCATATGCATGGTGCACATATATACGTGCAGACAAAACAAGCACACACATTTTAAGAAATCTAAGACAAAAAGATGCAAGTCTTCTCACATTTTATTAGGTCTGTGATCTAAGGGAGATGGTGATCCCGAGTTTCACAGTGAAATTGCACTGTAGAGATAACAGATCTTAAACCCTGTCTTCTCACTGGCTACAACTTTTGCCAATTGTTACTACTGGTCTAGAAAATTAAAAATAATTTTTAAAATTAGAACTTGAATCCAACATTTTTTTCAGCAAGCAAATATATATAAATTTGAGGCAGAGGCAGGCGGATCTCTGTGAGTTCGAGGCCAGCCTGGTCTACAAGAGCTAGTTCCAGGACAGGAACCAAAAGCTACGGAGAAACCCTGTCTCGAAAAATCCAATATATATATATATATATTTGGTATAAAAACTTTATGGGGTAGCATAGCTGGTACCTGAGTCCTCTACAGGGAAACTGCTGTGGGTGTTCATAAAATGGTGAATACAGTCTCTGCAGAAGCCAAGGCATCAAGAGTGGCCGTACTGAAGTTGTCCATGTGTCAGTGCAGCCTCAGCCCTCAGTGCTGGCCAGCAGCAGCAGCTTGAACACAAGAACAGGCATGGCTCCTGACCTTCTCAGGGCAGGGCTGAGGCACACCAGCAGAGCCACAGCAGCCTATCACCTTACATGGAACAGGGAGGAGTTTCCCATTCTTTTTCCACCAGTAACTATAGCATCTCTGTATCAGGACAATGGGAATCTTGGCTCCATAGCTGCCAGCAGCTGCTTCTTCAGGTCAAAGTTACTCAGGGCTAGAGTGTGCAGAGAGGCTTGGCTGGTGGTCTTGCTCAAAAGCGCAGAGGAAATATCATAGGACAAAGTGGGGTCTTGTCCAGAGGTTCTCTGGGAATTAGCACAGGCCTTTGACAACTATCGTAGAAGTTAGTTGAACTGGGGCGAGAACGCTGCTAGCAGGAATCTGGGTTTTGAGAACCGTTTTTTGACCTGTAATAGTAGAGCAATGAGGGAGTCCTGTAGTCCATAGTAGGCCTGTGCATCACGGCGCATCACAGTGCATCACAGCGCATCACAGCTCATCACAGTGCATCACAGCGCATCACAGCTCATCACAGTGCATCACGGCGCATCACAGAGCATCACAGAGCATCACAGCGCATCATAGCGCATCACAGCGCATCACAGCGCATCACCGAGCATCACAGAGCATCACAGAGCATCACAGCGCATCACAGCGCATCACAGCGCATCACAGCGCATCACAGAGCATCACAGCGCATCACAGCGCATCACAGCGCATCACAGCTCATCACAGCGCATCACAGCGCATCACAGCCGGCGCATCACAGCGCATCACAGTGCATCACAGCGCATCACGGTGCATCAAAGAGCATCACAGTGCATCACGGTGCATCACAGCATCACAGTGCATCACAGCGCATCACAGAGCATCACAGTGCATCACAGAGCATCACAGTGCATCACAGAGCATCACAGCGCATCATAGCGCATCACAGTGCATCACAGTGCATCACAGTGCATCATAGCGCATCACAGAGCATCACAGCGCATCACAGTGCATCACAGTGCATCACAGAGCATCACAGCGCATCATAGCGCATCACAGCGCATCACAGCGCACAGTTCATCACAGCGCATCACAGTGCATCACAGCACATCACAGAGCATCACAGCACATCACAGTGCATCACAGCGCATCACAGTGCATCACAGTGCATCACAGCTCATCACAGCGCATCACAGTGCATCACAGCGCATCATAGCGCATCACAGCGCATCACAGCGCACAGTTCATCACAGCGCATCACAGTGCATCACAGCACATCACAGAGCATCACAGCACATCACAGTGCATCACAGCGCATCACAGTGCATCACAGTGCATCACAGCTCATCACAGTGCATCACAGCACATCACAAAGCATCACAGCGCATCACAGCATCACAGTGCATCAGCGCATCACAGTGCAGACAATGCCAAGAGGAGGTGCCCATCTGCACCTGCTGCTTTCGGTTGGAGATCAGACCAGGATGAACTATACATAGTTGGGCCAGTAGAGACTTTAAATTCTGGGTCTCAGTCCTCATCCTCAGCTCCTGGAACCCCAGACTTTGTAGGGCTAACAAATTCTTCTAGTTGTCCTGGGGATGGGAGTAGTTGGGACTAACCATTGACCTCACTTCTACTCTATTTGGGCCCTAATAAGTCAGATGGAATAAGTCCATCTTGTTTACATTCATGCTCATCCTCCACCCCGTATCCCAGCCAGAGAGTCTGCTGTGCCCACCAGAAAGAGCTGAAAACCTTATTACAAGTGAATGGCCCTGGGCAAGCCTAGAATCCCTGCAAAAGCATGGAAACAGTGTGTGGAAGCTGAGCCAGGCTCACGGCAGATCGCTTCTGTTAGTATGAGTCTTCAAAATGGGTCTGAACCAGCAGCTGGTAACCTTTATTTCAGACCGTTTGCAAAGATGTTAAATCTTCAGTGGTTAAAAAGACAGATGAGTCTTGAAGAGGGCAGAAGTAGGCATTAATATCTGTTATTAAAGGCAGAGGTGAGAACCCTGGTGGGAAATCAAGGTTTCTTTGTCGATCTGTTTTCTTTGTGGTTTCTTCGGATTGGATTTAAAGAGATTTTCCTAAAACGCTTCCTGGAAACCTTGGCTGGATCTGCCCGGTGTGTGTGTTTGGTTTGGGATTTGTCAGTCTGGAAAGCTGGGGGTGGGAGGTGGGGTGGGGACTGTGAGCAGCTTGAGCCTGGCAGATTTCCCCCACCTGCCTAAAATACAGCCCAGAGGGAGCTGAGACCCCTCTTAGCTCAACCCTGCACCTCCACTCTTTGCCCCTGGAACTGTGGCCTTTATTTCAAGTCTGGTCCCCTGGGGACTGAGTGGGGAGTGAGGACAGCTGATAAGCCTGGCACTATTGACTTTATGGGGAATATTCAGTGTATTTACTTTCTACACATAAGCCGCGCTCTTATCTGTGGCCCACAGAGCATCTAAATCCTGCTCAGGGAAACAGTTGATGAGTCATGGTCTTGTACAAAGACCAATGGATAACGAGGGGGAAACATCCCACCCACACCTTTCTCCCCTCTAGAACCTGGTCCTGCACACCCCACCCCATCTCCCTCTGTTTTTACCTCTGCTCTTGGGTTTATTGCTTAAAAAAAAAAATAGAAGCATTCATTGCTCTAGGCCTATGGAGTCAAGGCCAAGCCAGCATTGTCCTGAGAGGTTGGTAGGCAGCTGGGCATACCCAGAGCAGTGTGCCCCTCTAATTGGTTACTATGGGGGGAAATGCCCATTCACTTGAGGCAGTTACACGCCCCTCTTTGTGTTTCAGTGGTCAACATTTGCTCCGGACAGAACTACCCAAAAGGCCTCCACATCAGACGTGTTAGTGAGGACGTGTGTTTGTGTTTGTGTGTGTGTATGTGGAGTGAACCAGATGTCTTGGAGAAGACGTGTGTGTGTGTGTGTGTGTGTGCGCGCGTGCGCACGTGCGCGCGTAGCACAGGTCTTACCAAAGAGGCGCCAGCCTGGTTCCTGGAGAATTAAAATGATTAATGAATTATAGAACAAAGAATAAATAATGCTTGAGAGAAGCTTGCTTTCATTACAGGCACCTCCCTCCTCTGGTTCGTCCACACTCTGCTTTCCAGCGACACTGTTCCAGGTCACTCAGAGGGGAGGGCAGGCCAAAACCCTGGGCTAAACAGATGAAAGGAGGCCCTTCAGAATGCACTTTGCAGAAAATTAGGGCCATGTACTT